CCCTCCCATCATTGTTCTTCTCAGCCATGTCTAAATGCAACTGAATTTTAACATCTGGAGACCAAAAGATATTCAAAGCCAGATTCACCTAGGAAGGAGCAGCAAGTTTTTTGGTAGCTCTATAGACTGAACTGCTGCCCTTGAAGGGAGGTTTACACCTGCTACAACAGGTAACATTATTTTTGAAATGTCAACCTTGTTTTCAACCATCTATGGCAATATACTTGCATATTGTTCCCATACAGAAGCAAGACAAACAATGGTGAATCCTCATCTAGCATCTCTCTAGGACCTTTTCCCAATCAGACAGCCTAAATTCCAGAAAACTGGTCTAGCTATAAAAGGGACAGGTGGCAGCAAAAATAAAAATACAGCCCAGCTTCTAAAACACACCTGATCTAAGATAGGCCTGGCTCACATGTACCTCCAAACCTGGCTCAGAACTTTTGCCCTGTGGATGGAAGTGAGTCAGGATGAAGCCTGAAAAAGAGACAAGCTGAGGGTGCTACAGAGATGCCTCATGAATGTCAACTTGCTCAGGGCAACCTCTCACGTGCAGGACCCCAAGGGGAAAACAGACATTACGTGAAGACTCTAGGGAACTACTAAGATCAAAACAATTAAAACAACAGGAACAAAACAAACATAATGGGACAAAAACCAACAGCAACTGTTCCAAAGAAACACCATCGGATGGAAAATCAAGCATTCCTTCCTTGCCATTAAGCCCATAAGAATTTTGCTTTACATGCAGCCCGGGATGAAAAAGAGGAAACAAAAGTAAATGTTAGGAATTTTTTGAATCATGCCTAGCAGAGGGATGTTTGGAGTTGCAAAATTAAAATGACTGATGAAATTTTATTTTTTGTGGTTGATTTTTCTTAGAAGTATGATAAATGGCTCCTTCCCATGCCAACAATTACACGACAGGTAGGGTGTTCCTGTTTGTTTGTTTTCATTGTATCAAAATTAGGATACAAGATTGATGTTTAAATAAAGAAATAGAATCAGCCCTGTATCCTAATTTGCATATTTGGAAGACAGAAAGCAAACACTGGGGAGAGTGCAACAGAAAATATCTCAAAGCTTGGAGGGTATATCCACTGCCATTTAGAGGGTCCCAAGTCATTTCAGAGCCTGAACCACACAGGGTGCAGCGATTGCCTTCTGGACCACCTGCTCTGCATTAATGGACTTCTTTAAAGATACCTCCTGCAATCACTGATATGGAAAGTGCCAAATTCAATTTGAGCTGACTTAATAACTGTAGGGAATAATCTTTGGGCTTCATCCACTACCAGTCAATCCATCTTCAATTCTTTGGGCTGGCTGTGGCCTGGGAGCTGTGTGACCAGACAAATGCATCAAGAAATTCTCAGCTGCTTTCTATTAATCCAGAAACCATGGATTAAATGTCTCTGTACTGGATTGTGTTAGCAAGAAAGTATAAGGTCACACATATGATATTGGTCAAAATATTTTGATCAAAATATGTTTAATAAGAAACTAAATGAGTTGGACCACTGATCAGTTGACTTAAAGCTACAGCTTCTGAGAACATATTAGTCCTACTAAAACTTTACCGTTCATATTCCTCAATACTGTAATGTGAGGAATTTTCATGGCTGCTGCCAAAAGGACTCAGATCACCATCTCTGTTTGTAGACTGTGGTAATGCTGATGTGAGCAGATCAGTTTGCATGATGCACTTTGCAGGGGCCAGCTCCTGTCCAAGAGTATGGCTGTATGCAGGGCCACAACTCTCCTACTGACTCAGATTACTTCTATACTTTTAAAGGGTTCTTCTTTTCAAAGGAAGATCTCTGAAAATATTTCACATGACTGCAGGTAAAGGCAAGTGACAGCTGCAGGTCAGGGCTCAGAAATGCAAGATTTGTGCCCCTTTGGGCTTGCCAGGATCTGAATCGACTCAGTGAATGAAAATGCACACCTTTTGCAGGGCTTTTTCTAAACTGGTTTCCCACCTCTCCCAAATAGCATTTCATTTTAGGAAATACTGAAATGCTTTCCCCATGAGAATTCCCTCTGCAAGCATGGATCCAGGCCAAGGTAATATCACACTCTGCCAAGCTGTGCAGTTTGCAAGGCACAGGATGAGCGTCCCTTCCAGATAATGCTCTGTGAAACCAATGGTTACACCACAGCAGCCCCTGCCATCACCTAACTCAGCAGACACATTCATAGCAAGTGGATCAGCCAGGATCCAGGTTCCAAATGCAGGGCTTGAATAATTGGATGTTCCCATTGATGCTCAGTGGGAACTGAGCATTTTACCCCCCTGCACATCACGCTGAATTCTCATATCCCTTTCCCTCCACCTCCCCGACCTCCGTGCCACAAGCTTTTGTGATTAACGTGGCAATGGAGATTGAACTGTGGGCATACATTGATTTGCTGAGTGGTTTGGCAAAAGAAAGTAAATCCAGGCTACTTACCTCAGTGCAGACCCCTTTGGTGTTGCAATGCCATAGCCTTTGGAGTCCAAGTTACCTCCCACCTTCATGGTGTCACAGGGCTTCCGCTGCTCGATGTACTCATTCATGGTGGACTCCAAGAGGTAGGCATACTTCCCTTTCGACTTCCTCACCCGGATCATCCCCTCTTCAGTTGTCCTCACAAAAACGGAGGGTTCAGCTGACTTCATGTATGTCCACATCTTCTCAAATACTGCTATTTTGGATCGCTGTGTAGGACAGCAGAAACCCAACAGAAGCTTTAAGAGAGGTTTGGGTGCCAGCTGGGATTTCCAGCTTGGGCTGAACACACGCCCGCATATTGGATGAGCCAATGAAGGTAAAGGATATAATGGAATGTTAATGAGCCTCCTATAATTTCTGCACCAGGGCCCAGATCAACCCTGGCACCTTGACAGAGTAAGGGCAGGATATTTGTGGATGGCAAGGGATTTTGCTGATCAAACCAAAGGCAGCCCAAGCTGGAAATCAGGAGATGTTTTCTTTTGGAGCTGCTGAGAGTAACTCCTCAGCAATGTAGGGAGCACACTGATATTCCTTATTTGTGTTTACAATCACAGAGCATCACATGTCCTGGAGACACCACCAGCCTTCTGAGTGGCACAGGATAAAATGGACTTGTGTTGCTCTAAGGACAAGCTCAGCAGGTCCCAACGTGGTAAGGGGAAGCAAGAACAAAATAACAGACCTGAGCCGAGGATGAGACAGGATGGGCCTGGAGGGCTTGTCCCAGAAGGCTAATCAAAATGTTTACATTAAAGTTTCCTCTTTACCCTGAAAAATTCTTTAGTGGAGCCAGCTTCCAGGGTCCCATAGGCAATTTCTGTCTGCTTGGCCAAGTCCTCTGCACTCTCGATGGGAGAAACCATCCTTTCCACAGTGAGGAAGGCAGCCAGGTTAGCTGTGTAGGAGGATATGATGATCAAGGTGAAGAACCACCAGACGCCACCGACTATGCGGCCGGAGAGAGACCTGGACACATGGGGGAGAGTCAGACATGAGGGGTGTGAAGGTCTGAAAGGTGCAGCCCACTCTTGCAGGCCCATCCTTTACCCAGTCACGTTCTCCAGTCATTTCCAGGGAAGCTAAAGGTCTGTTTCAGTCCTCAATGCACTTTTCAAGGTGTCAATAAAAAATTCCCAGTGAAAAAAAAAAAGAAATCAGCCATAAACAGAATGAATTTGCTTTGATTTTCAGTTCCTTTCAGAGTATATAATAATATTAATAATAAGACCTGGAGAAAACAAGGAGGAAAGTTCAGCTGGCAGGGCAATGCCCACCCAAACAGCAGCTCTGGCAAGGTCTGTGTTGTGGCATGTACCTGCAGTGGGAAGGAGCACCAGCATGGAGCCAGACCAGATATATCCAGACCAGCTGGTATCACCAGGTCAGCTCCTCCATCACCCAAAGTTTAAAAAACAAACCTCTGTGTTTTTCTCTAAAACATATTGAAGCTCAGAGAGGAGCTACAGCCTTAATGAATAATTCGCCTACTGACATTCTCTGTTTTGTATTCACCAGATGGTTAGACAAGATGTTCATCATAATGCCTTAAAATCTAGGTGTTTTGTATTCTCTGCAATCAAACAGCCAATTATCTGTAACCATTGGGTAGCTATAGTGGCAAATAAGTCAAGCAGGCACACATTTTATATTAAAATCTTTTCAAATATTTTTTTTAAAGTGGAAGATAATTTTAGAGTGATGTCAGTATTCATGCATTCTGTCTAAATTATTTATACACTCCTTTTTTAGATGCAGAGCACTGTCCCAGGCAGAAGGTAACTCACAATGCTATTTTATAAAGCCAGACAGTCTGACTAGGGAGGACCTGCCCCTGAGAAACACTATTTGTTTCTCCGCTGGGGACTGTGTCTCAGCATTGCCTTTCTGCTGACCTGACTCACTCCACAGAAATGTGGTTTAAGGGGTGGTAATAGAGATATCCCAGTCCAGCTAAGGGCACTGAACCAGCTCATGACTGTGTCTGGGTTGGCGTTAAGCCTTGGGTCCAGCTGCTGTGGTTTACTGTGGCTTAACACAACCTAACAAACCAACGTGCACACTCCGCCTCTCCATCAAGGGAAAAAAACACATCCTGCTAATCACTAAAATTAGAGCTGGAAAGAGACTAACCTTACATAGCCCACCAGCTGCACAACTTGTTCAGGTTACACCCTTCCCATTGGTCCAGTCTGGTTTAAACAGGGCTGATGTGAGGGGAGCTGCTCCCACAGACAACACAGCATCTCCTTATTTAGAACAACCCACCCTGAAATCTTCTCAATCTTCTCAATCATTTTGAGCTCACTTTCCAGCAGAAAGCAGGCACAGGGCTAGAGGTGGTTGGGCTTTCCTCTGCACTGGGGTCTCATGTGGGAGCAGATTCTCTGCCCTGCCTTTTGGTGTCTTCTTCCAAAGGCTTTTCTGATACTGGGCTGCAAGGTTCATCTGACCATAAACTCAAGCTCAGTGAATGACTTCAAAGGACCCATCTTTCAAGATCTTTCAGGAAAGTCTAGACGACCCATCTCCAAGGTAATATTATAAGTTCACAAACTCTTACCTTAATGATCTATGTCTTAAAAAGCAAGAAATGTATGACAAATAAGATCTTTTCAGACATGGTGTCCAACCATAAGCATACTCTGGTTACCCCATCCTGCAGGGTCTCATGAAAACCTCCTCCTTCACTGGCAACTGCATCACCATGGCTGAACAGCTAGTCCCTCATCCCAGATTACTTTCTTTTTGTGCTTCCCCATCAATGCCAGCCAGAAAGGGGGATCCGAGGTTTGTTGTGGGAGCACTGGAATCTGTGAGAAAGGCAGTCAGGTGGGCACTGTTCTTCTACTCTATATTTAACCCTCCAAGAAAGAAATACCCAAAAAACAACCTCTGGTGAGATTAGTGTGGCCACCATGCTTCCCATCTGTGGAGAATACTCAGCACACAGAACCGTTAGCAGAAATTATTTTGTATTTTGGTTCATATTTGGAGAAGGACTGGGGAGGGAAGCAGCTGTGGATTCAGCTCATATGTCTTCAGATTGATAGAAAAAGGAAAAAAAACAAACCTGTCTTTAATTAGTCTGGATGATGTGTGCTCAAGGAAGGAAGAGCTAAGAAGAGTCACTGAGGCATTAAATGTAAGTAACCGGATCATGTAAAATACAACAATCTGCTGATGAAGGCCACTTTGAGCTGGCAAAATCCATTTGCATGGCAAATAATCACATTCATCTCCAGCTGCAAATTATACAGCTTTTCCTTCCTGACGTAGCTGGGATATTTCTGTGACTGGTTTCAATCCCTTCAGCAGCAGTGAGCTGGTTTCCTGCCTCTAGACCCTCGGCATCCTGGTGTTGTTCATTACTGGCTTATCATACAGGAGCTGCCTGCTGTCAGCTGCAGATGGCTCATGTTTCCCAGCTCCACACTTGGCAGAGACAACATGAAAATGTAGTTATGGGGTATGGAGACCGGGAGGTAAGAAGGAGGGCTGGGGAAAGAGAGAGAGGGGACTGTATTTTCTTTCCCATGGGAGACAGATGAGACAGGATGCACGTCTGTATCAGTTACCAGTCTCATTTGTGCTGTTTCTGCTGGTGCTGGTCACTTCTCCTCATCACACGGGATGCTATGAGGTGAGTGTTTGCTCTCAGAGATGGTGGAGGAAAGAAAAGTAGACAAACAGCCTGCTATGACTGCTAGCGTGGCTAGGGCTGCACATGGGTGATGTTGCGCTGCAAACATTGCTAAAGGGCAATGCTGCCCTCATTGCTAGATTGACTTGGAGCTAGAAGCTGTGAATCCAAATGGCCATAAAGGCACAGCAGAGGAGACACTGAGCATATGGGCTCTACAGGGCATGGGCCTTTTGCTCCACAGTTGTGCAGCATCTGAGTCAAGGGAGTGTTGGCTAGTGCCGAAGGCTCTTGGAGGTCAGTGCAACACAACAAAAAATAAGTCTCATTGAAACATCACACAAGTAGATGCAATCCCATGTGACATCCCTACAGCTCAATGGCAGTGAAGATACATTGAACAGGACACACTGGATCTCTCTGGATAACCACATCGCCTGTTTGCTTTTTGTGCCAATGCCCGTCACCGCCTACCAGAACCACTTGGTTGAAAGACAATCTCCGTTACCATCTTGTTCTTGTGCTTCTGTAGACCAAGAGGGAGAGTCACAGTGCTGCCATCACGGGACACATTTGCAAAAGTGACTGTAGTTTAGGAGATAATGTCCCAATTCTAGAAGTGACTGTAACATTTGGAAGCTAAAAGTCTGGTTGAAAGCCAGTGGGACTAGAGGATGTTTATGCTCTAGTAAAAGCAGCCACGAAGGAGTAGATATACCTTGTACTTTTAAGTCACTTTGAAGATTTAAAAATCTCACTCCACAGTAGATAACAGAAAATGACCTTCTACTTCACTAACAAATGTTTTGCAGCTTGAGCCCTAGCAAAGTTAATATCTCTTCACTAATGGGCAGTATGGGGTTTAAATCCTCTTGCACTGAGAATTTACATGTCCCTGCATCTGTCCAAGCATAACGTGAAGGCAATCAGCTCTCTGCTGTGTGGAAACAAGGAAGAGACTCTGTCCTCTGCAGAGCTAAGGTGAGATGGAGCACACTGGTTTATTTAAAGATATGCTAAGGTTCAGGTGGTTGGGTTTGTGTATTTGACTTCTGGATTTATTCACATTCATTGTCATAGAAATACTTCCAAATAGCAGTATCTAAAAAAAAATAGAATAAAATAAACACATAACAGTGAAAGAAGCTTCAATGAATGGCTAAATCTGGGATGTGGAAAGGGGTGAAATATCTAGATAGGTTAGACTTTGTGTTTTCCAACCTGCATTATTCCTTTTGTACCTACACTCTTCTTTCTCACATAATCCAAATTAAGATCTCTTAGTTTCTTCTTCTAGACCTTCCTGTGCTGGTTAAAATCACCTGGCCCTTCCTCTCCCTGACCTGGGATCCTGTTTGCCCTCCTGGAACAGTAACAAGAATGGGGTGCTCCTCTCCATCATTTCCCTTGCAGGAGTAAGAAGCAAATACTCTGCCCTCATTATTCACTGTGCACAATCTACTTAAAATTACAGCTGGCTGGGAACCAGAACTGCAAAGCCGTGGAAAATTCTGCAATTGTAAATGAAACCTTAATATTCTCAACTGGAAAGAAAAGATAATGTCTGCAAATGTCCTCTTAAAGTAGCATTCTGAAAATGACTGGTTTGGGTCCATCCAGCTTTGCATTTTTCTATTACTTCATGTTTCATTTCTGAAAGGCTAAACATTATCATTTAAACCTGGTAAATAATTTTGTTTCTGCTTTCTCATTACAGATTATTTTCTTTCAGCTTGTATAGTACTTTAAACTCTTATCTACCACATGTATAATTTAAGAGATAATTCTGGAATATGCTATTTAATATGCCTGATGGAAAAACTGTAGATGACAAAGCTGAAATTAATAATAATTATTTTCTCAGTTTTTCTTTTTTTTTGTTTTTCTTTTTTTTAATTTTTTTTTTTTACCTTTCCTTGCAAAAACAATTGTATTTTGCCAGTAGAAAACAGAAAGGAATTCTAAGTTTTATTCATTCCCATTAAGTGTTTTTTTTTTTGTGTGTGTTCTAGCCTCAGCATCAATGGATTCTTCACAGAAAAAAATAAAATAATCCAGCTATAATATCTTATTTCTTAAAACAAAATGCAATCCTTGATCAAAACATTTGCTCTTTGATCTTATCCCTTATGGAAGGTAGGAAAGGCTGACAGGAGTTTGCCTCTGCTTTGCCATCTTATTAGAAGAGCATCATGCATTTTTTTCAAAAGGCATTAATAAGATCATCCAAAACTCTACAAAATAAACCTTGTTAAAAAACTGTTCAAGCAGCATCTCAGTTCCCTCCCACTTCTCCCTTCCCCCTCTTCAAATCCATATCTTATGA